CTTCACGAAACTGGCTCTGGGACCTCAATCAGGGAGGGGTGATGCCAAGCCACAAGAGAAAAAGCAAAGCAAACCAACCCTGCCACCATCCAGGCCCGAGTCACTGGCCAGTCCTCAGTGACACAACCAACGCAAGAAGAAGCAGGGTCTGTTACTGCAGCAGAAAAAACTAGGCTCAAGTCCCGATTCCTCACTTTTTCTTTGTAAAATGTACAGTCAGGGTTACAGCTCTGAGATTCCCTGAGGCCAAGGTAAGAACAGTGGGACCTCATTGCTGGCTACCCATGGGTGACTAGGTCAGGATCAGGGCACTTGATTCAAGTGAGCCAATCATCCTGGGGATTTTGGACAGAAAGGTTCAGGGGAAAACTGGTGATCCACATGAGGGAATCTTAACTTGGGAGATGACCTTCTGCCAGGTCAACTGAGAAAAAGAGAAAGAGAAAGCTTCAAGTTATAAAGATAAGATCTCAGCAGAATGTACATGCTGCAAGACAGAGACAAAGAGAGACGGAGAAATGAATGATTTTGCATTCCCTACTTCACTACCGAAATGCCTACAATAGCCAGGCCTGGGCCAAGTCAAAGCAAGACCAGGAGTCTTACCAGAGTGACAAAAACACCAGTGCCTGGGCCATCCTCTGCTGCTTTCCAGGAAGTTGGATTAGCAGCAGAGGAGCCAGGACTTGAACTGGTGCTCTGATAAGAGACGCCTTCATCACAGGTGGAGCCTTAACCCATCACCTGTTGTTAACACCCAGACACATCTTTGCTCTCAACTCCTGTGATACACTCTCACTTCAAAGCCCTGAGATGCAGTAATTTAGTTCTCCTTCTGCTAAACTAAATGGAGTTTATGTTTTTAACCAAGTCCTAAGTAATACAAATCCCTTGCACAATTGCTCCTCAGTGTCTGGCCTTTGTAAATAATATGCAATGCATGATTTGTAATATTATGATAAGCAAGGCACAAGGACGCACTATTACAGGAATAGGACAGATGAATCACCTTGCATAGGCATCTAAATTACTCCTCCTGCGGAGGGGAGAAGAAGGTGGGGGAGACATGCCATGGAGCCCTGTCCTTGGTCCTCTCCCACGCCATAATGTTATCAGTGGCTGGGTCTGGCCGTGGAAGGTTGTTTATTAAGTCTGCAGCTGACATGCAGATGGGAGAGACACGTGGCAAAACCCGGATGACGGAATCCGGGTTCATCAGATCAATTTCTAAGGGCTGGTGAGGGAGCTGAAGACAGCCTGATAAAATGCATCAGGCCCAAGGTAAAGGTCCTGTACAAGGGGAGAGTCTGGGGGGAGAAAAGTTCTTGAGACGCGAGCCAGGGCTTGAAGAGTATGAGCTAACGGGCTAGTGCAGCCGCCAGACACTCCCACCAGCATAACACACACATTGAATGTGTTCAGAATATTTGCTCACTCTGGGAAAGAGAGGAAGGACACAAACATCCTGGAGGGACACTTGTTGGGTGCCGGGCCCCTTTCTGAACACCTGACAGCCACCGTTTCGAGGGATTCTCTCATTGATCCTGTGACTTGGGGGCCAGTATCACAATCCTCACTTGACAGGTGACGATGAGGAGGATTGAGATGATGAAGAAATTTGACTTACGGAGTACACAGCATGAACTCAAACTAGGACATGTAACTTCATCCCTGAGTTTCACAGTTGGAATATTCCATTGGATCCTGAGACAGTGTTGTTTTTTAGAGAAGGATGAGCCTGTCTAGATGAAGGTGACCAGGAAGGTGAAAACTCTATCAAGGAGTCCCCTTGAGAACAAATCGAGCTGGGAAGACCATGAGCAAGGACAGCCATCAGCGTCTCTTGCACAAGTCCCCAGAAATGACACCATCTACAATCTTGTGACAGCATGGAAAATAAAGAGTGGTGCCCCTGGTGGACTCAAAACCACCGAGAAATCCCTGGGAGATGGCTGGCAGACAGGACTGGATTAATGAAAAGAAACACAAGCTGAAGCAGAGGCTATGCAGGACTCCCACAAAGGAGGGAGGCGGGGAGGCAACTCACTCTCCGGGGAGACATTGTCCAGGCTGAAGGTCAAAGAGATTCACTGGAGATTCAGGGGAGGGGGAGATGCCAGTGGGTGACTCTTCATCCACCCAGCCCTCGGGAGCTCTGACTGTGGTTTTATGAGATGGAAAAGGCGGGACGTGGTCAGCGGGAAAGGACACGCGCAAGCCAGGGAGACGGTTTGTTGGCATCATTCTTCCGGTGGCAGGTTCTGTCCTGCAGTCACCGGCAGAAGATCAGGTGAAACAAAACACTGTTCACAGGGAAGGAACCAGAAGTCAAGGTCTACACAAGAGCACCCCACAGGCCAGGGAAGACCGGGGCCAACTGCGCACACAGGCTGAGCAGCCCTAACCAGAAACCCAAGATCCAAGATGTTTCACAAGCTGAAATTTTTAGAGCATCATGTGGCCACTCAAAAGATTTAGATTTGGGGCTGGTGGTGTTGCACTGTGGGTTGGACTACCACCTATGACACCAGAATTCCCCATCAGAGTGCTGAGGCAAGTCCCAGCTGCTCCATGTTCAATCCAGCTCCCTGTTGATGTGCCTGGAAACACAGTGGGAAATGTCAGCAGTGTTTGAGCCGCTGCTACTCCACATGGGAGACTCAGAGGAAACTCCAGCCTCCTGGCTTTGGCCTGGCCCGGTCCAGGCTGTTATAGACATTTGGGGAATAAGCCAGCAGATAGAAGCTTCTGTCTCTCCTCTCTCTCTCTCTCTTTCTCTCTCTCTCTCGACTCCTGCTCTTTCTATATAACTCGTATCCAACTTGTGTAAGAACTAACAACCAAGGAAACAAAACAAGTTGAGACATGTGAAATACACCAGATATTATTCATTGGATAGGAGATTGCAAACAAGAAGCAGGAAGAGTCTACTGGAGAAAAACAAATTACAAGCAAAATATTTAATCATTAAAAAAAAATCAAAAGACACAGCAGGACAGAATAGACAGAAAATCAGTACTCTGCAAGGTCTGGCAGAGGCACCGACCCAAATGTTTTTGGCAGAAGTGTAAATTCCGGTTTCCTCACGAGGCTATTTCTAGGTTTCTTGCCAGGTGAGCTCAACAAACCCCTATTATTTAAGGCGAGAGTCGGCAGATAACAACTACAAGCCAAATCTAGGCAACTCCCTGTTTGGGTAAACAAGCCACACCCGCTCATTTACATAGTGACTCTGGCTGCATAAGAAGAATCAAACGTGAAGCTGAGAGTTCGTGCAACAGAGTGGGTGGCCCACAGAGGCTGAAAATCTTTATTATCTGGTCCTTTACAGAGAAGCCTTGCTGCCCCTTGGTTTAGAGCATGATTGCTTGGGTTTCCGGAAAGCTGGACTCCTAACCGAATGGAGATGCGAGAAAAGAAAAAGAACTCTCACGAGATGCACAAAGGTTATTTCTAGAGGGGGAAGAAGGAGGCACAGAATGTGAAGGGAGGAGGGCATTTAAGTATATAAACCTGAACATTTCTTAATAATGGTCATGAACTTGACCATTATTATCTTGCAATTTAATTTTTCTAAGAACAACTGAAGCTCTGACAAGAAACTGCTGATGCATTTGAAAACGCGGAGTTTGAATTGCATTCAGCAAAAGGAAAAAAAAGACACAAAAAGAACTTCTTCTGAGATCCCTTCTGCAGGAAGCTCGAATGCAGGTAGCAGTAATTTAGTGTCCAGATGTGGTTCCCTTTGAAGAGGAGTATTAACTGGGAAGGACCCGCAGAGGACCTCTGGGCTACAAAGAGGGCTCTACATTTTGATGTGGTTACTGCTCTCTTAAAATTCCTTAACATTCCTCAGGCCTGGAGGTAGCCTAACGGCTCAAGTCCTCACCTTGCACGTGCCAGGATCCCATGCAGCCTCCGGTTTTAAGCCTAGCAGCCCCGCTTCCCATCCAGCTCCCTGCTTGTGGCCTGGGAAAGCAGTTGAGGACAGCCCAAAGCCTTGGGACCATGCACCTGCATGGGAGACCTGGAAGAGGCTCCTGGCTTCAAATCAGCTCAGCTCTGGCCACTGCAGCTGCTTGGGGAGTAAATCATTGGACGAACGATCTTCCTCTCTGTCTCTCCTCCTCTCTGTATATCTGCCTTTCCAATAAAAATACATAAATAAATGTTTTTTAAAAAGTAATTATTCTAGGGAAAAAAAAGTTGTTTAGAACTTTGTTCAACTTCGCTGCTCTTAATTTCATGACTTTGTTTGAATTATTTGGGGCGTGTGGGGAAGCAGTTGCTTTAGTGGCTTCTCATTGGGATGCATGGAGTTGGGAAAGGCGAGCTTCGGACCATGCCCGCTTATCCTACAAGGAAACCAGGGCTTTTCTCATCTGAGATTGTTGCCCTAGCTTGCCTGGGCACCTGCCCAACTCTCCCGTCCTGTTTGGTTCAGAGCCTCCTCGGGGCCCTGGGAAGAGGAGAGTGGTAAAGGAGAAGGGAGCCATCCAGGGCTGGGTTTCATGTGGCTAACCCCCTCTGTTACTGCACAGCGTCCTCACATGCTTGAGGAGCAAGGACTGCCAAACCTCACCGTACAGACATGGCAGCTAGAGTAAGGCACGGGGCACAGCAGTCAGAGTGCCTCTTGGGATACCCTCGCTGCCTATTAGAGTGCACAGGTGCAAGCCGTGGCTCCATTCCCCATCCGGCTGCCTGCTAATGTATACAATGGGGGAAAGCAGGTGATGCTGGCTCGAATGCTTGGGCCCCTGCATGGGAGACCCAGACGGAATTCTTGGCTTCAGGGCTCTTTGGAACATATTTTTACACATTTTACTGAAATGCAGTATATACAGCAAAAAATGCACGAGTGTCCTGATGACTTTTTGGCCTCTGATCACAGTCATAAGCAACACCTATAGTAAGGACAAAATAGACCAGAGGTCCTAGAGGTCTCACTGTTCTCTCTCCATTTCCTTTTTTTAATATGGGGAAGAGTACATTGCCAGAAAAATCTGGAACGCTTCAGGAGTTTGTGTATCATTCTTGCAAAGTGGCCATGCTGATCTTCTCTGCTTAATTCCATTTTTAGTATGTGTGCTGCCAAAGCGAGCACTGGGTTCCTGGCTTTGGCCGGGGCCCAGCCCTGGCTCTTGTTGGCATCAGGGGAAGGAACCAGCAGATGGAAGACTGATTTCTCACCCTCTCTTTCCAAAGTGAAAAATAAAAACAAAACAAAACCCTGAGCCTCCACATGGATAAAATTAAAAAAAAAAAAAAAAAAAAAAACCTTGTCTAAGGTTTAAGGTTTAAGGTTCAAGGATCTTCGAAAGCGATCCCCACACTCCGGCTCCTCTGCCAGGGCCTGTGGAATGCCCAGGATCAGCTGGGCCCGGCACTTGCTGTGTTAACTGAGCCTAGATTGCCTCACTCACTGGATGCGGCTTATTGCTGCCTACCTCACCAGGGGATGATGAGGAGTGAGTAAGACAATGGAGACGTGAAAGCCATTTTTAACAACTGGGCCATCTGTCAGGTGCGCTGCAAAGTGGCCAGGAGGCTAACAGCTGCTGCTTTTTGCCTGCCTGCCAGCCTTCTCCCCTTCTTCTGGCAACCGGCGCCTGATTGCTCCCTTGGGAAGAAAACCCTCAGGAAGCGTGTGCTCGCCTTTGAGATTGAGCCCAGCTGCCCTTCCTTGGGGGGCGCGGGCGAGGGAAGCGAGGAAGCCCAGCCAGACACTCGCTGGTGCATCTCAATCCACAGGCTTGCCTCAACAGGAGCGCCGAGGAGCTTGCTTTTGGCAGACGTGGTTGGGAGCAAGATACCAATGACAGAGAGAAAGGGACAACGGGGAAGAAGGGGCTTAGGGTGTGTCAGGCACTGCTCTGAGTACCTCTGAGCACCCAGTAAGGCAGCGTCTGCCACTGGCCCCGTTCTATAGTTGAAGAATGTGAAACTCAGTGGTAAGGAGGTTTTGGGGGTAACAGATGAAGCAGGAATTACACCCTCGGGCCATGTGGCTTTTCCCTCCACTGTCTGGCCTCTGTGGGGTCAGCCTGGGTCTGCTGGCTGTCATCGCGCCTCAGATAGAGGACACAGACTGTTGGGGAACGGACTTGCTCCAAAAGGAGGCAGAGTGCAGAAGAGTGAGGGCTGAGGGCCTGGATCCAGCCATGTCTGATGTCTGTGCTTTTTAGGTAAGGCGACAAAATCACCTTTTTCTTGGGGGGGTGGGGGGGAGGCACCACAAAGTTGCTGTGGGGAAGGCTTTGGTCACCTGGACAGAGTCAGTATCACAGAGCCACTGGCTCTTGTCGGATCTGGCCGGACCCCAGGGAAAACAGGCGCAGAGAAGAAGAGCAGAGGCGCTGTGGCTGGGGGTGGCAGCTCTCCCCAGGCTGCTATCAGGAGGAAGCTCCCGCCCTCAGTGCTTTTTCCAGAACCTAAGCCGTATTCTTGCCCCAGAGGGATGTGTCCACTTGCAGGGACAAAGCAAAGGGAGGCCCTTTCAAGGCAATTTCTGGCCTGCGATCTCCGCATAGAGAAAGCTCTGCGGATGAAGGGCACACTGCTTACCCACAGCAGGCTCAGCGGGGGAAGCTGTCCATGTTCTCTCTCTCTGGTTGCAAATGGCTGCCCTTTGATGGTGTTTTTTGTTTTGCTTTTGGTGTTTTTGTTTTCTTCCCTAAGAGTTTAATCCTGTGCAGGAAGTTAAGCCGATACCAGAAAGGTTTTAGACATGTCAATCTCCTTCCTGGCATTTTATCAGAAATTGATTCTCCTTGCTTTGCAAGGCATGTGTCTGGGCCTTGTACCAGGCACCGTGTTCACGGACACACCTCCTGCTGTTCCAGCCCTGATCCTTGGCTGCAGATCCACAGGGCAAGCTAATTGCATGGGGCACAGAGCACCTGTCAGCTCTTCATCCAACACTCGGGGAGGGCGGGGATGGCAGCCCACGCCCTGCTCTTCCAGGCAGGTGTCTCCCCACAGCAGACTCTGAAGGGATTACTAACGAGGCTGCCACGGTACTTCCGATGTTTAGGGAAAGGGTAAGCAAAAGATGACCTGATTTTAGTCCTCCAGATTCTGAAATCTACCCACCTTTTTTTTTTTTCATAATACATATATGCCATGAACTTTTTGAAGACTTCCCTGTATATGTGGAATTCAAAATATTTGGCACCATGTTGTGGGCATTGTGGGGTAGTGGGTTAAGCTGCTGTGACATCCACAACCCATACTGGAATGCCAGATAAGAGATCTGATCCAGGTCCTGCCACCCCACACGGGATAGATGCAGTTCCTGACCCCTTGGTTTCACTCTAGCCTAGCACCAGCTGGTACCATCATGTGAGGAATGAACAAGCAGATGAAAGATCTCTCTCTCCATCACTAAGCCTTTAAAATAATGAATAAATATCTCTTAAAAATATGTTTGGGGACAGACATGGTGCCCAGTATGTTCATCCTTCATTAGTAGCACCAGCATCCCATATGGATACTGGCTCGAGTCCTCGCTGCCCCACTTTCAATCCAGGTCCCTGCTTGTGGCCTGGGAAAAGCAGTGGAGAGGGCCCACATCCTTGGGACCCTGCGCCCACATGGGAGATCTGGAAGAAGCTCCTGGCTCCTGGTTTCGGATGGACCCAGCTTATCACTGCCGCTATCTGGGGTGTGAACCAGCAGATGCAAGATGTCTCTCTCTCCATTTCTCTCCCTGTATTCTTTCACGTCTCTACCCAGGAAGAAGAACTGATTTTGGTAAAACCACAGATTTTGGAATGTTGGCTCTCAAGCAGCCTCAGCAGCCTTCGTTGTCATTTAAAAAAAAAATGTGTCCCACAGAGCCCTTGAGGTCTGTAAATATGGAAGGGGCAGTTCGTGACTGCGCCGAAGGTCACACGCACACTGAGCACGTGACCGAGGGAGAGGGCTAAGGAGGAAGGGGAAGGAAGAGGTGGGATCCCGAGTGTCGTCTAAAACTGACACCAGGATCACAAGTCAAAGGGGCCCCCCATAATACCCTGGATGGGTGCTATGAGCACCTGAGTGGACAGCTTTCCTCCTACCCTCTGGGAGACAAGGGGACGGGGGGACGACAAGGGATGGCCACCGAATGGATCCCAAGATGGGTCCTCTGCCATGGTAAAGTGAACTTCAACCTGGCCAACACTCTGCAGACTGGCCTGAAACAAAACCCACTACCCCTCTCACGCGCCGTGAGGGAGGAACTGGGAGTGGTACTGTCAATCCAACCCATGACTTTTTTTTTTTTTAAGATTTGCTTATTTTTATTGCAAAGTCAGATATGCAGAGGAGGAGAGATAGAGAGGAAGATCTTCGGTCTGCTAGTTTACTCCCCAAGCAGCTGCAAATGGCCAGTGCTCAGCTGATTTGAAGCCAGGAGCTTCTTTCAGGTCTCCCCCGCAGGTACAGGGTTCCACGGCTTTGGGCCGTCCTCAACTGCTTTCCCAGGCCACAGGCAGGGAGTTGAATGGGAAGCGGGACTGCCAGGCTTAGACCGGTGCCTATGTGGAATCCCAGAGTGTGTGAAAAGAGGACTTTAGCCACTAGGCTATTGCGCCAGGCCTTTGGTTTTTTTATTTTTAGCACTTTTAAAGGCAGTGAGAGAGAGAGAGAGAGAGAAAGGAAAGGAGAAGAGAGGTGAGAAGAGAAGACAAGGGAAGCAGCTCTTCCATCTACTGGTTCACTCCCCAAATGCCCTCAGCAGTTGGGCATGGGTCAGGTCGAAGCCAGGAGCCCACAAGCCCACAGCTCCATCTGGGTCTCCTACTTAGATGACAGTGGTCCAGGTGTTGCAGCCATCACCTGCTGCCTCCCAGGTGTGCCTTAGCAGGAAGTTGGATTGAAAATTGAGTAGCCAAGACTTGAACCAGGCACGCCAGGGTAGGATATGGACATCCCAGGTAAGAGCTTAACTTGCTGTTCTACAACATGAGCCCCTATAAGTGTATCTGATCATAGAGTGCTTCTCCAAGACCTTCTGGGACAAGAGTGATTTTCAAATGTAAACATATGATCTGTCTGGTTCCAAAGGTTTCCTATATATCCACAATGGAGTTGTGGAGTTCTATGCAGCCATGAAAAGTATGAGATTCGCCCCCCATGTGTCCCGCTAGGCAGTGCTCTCCAAGGCACGTCCAGGGACAAAGCAATGTGTATTACTGCTCTATGATATTAAGTAGGGGAGGGAGAGGGCACGGCGGGTCAGTTGCAGCCCTGTAGAGAAGCACGCAATCCCAGCTCTGCATAGTTGGAGAATTGTGCAATGTATCTGGAAGGACACGTGAACTGACCACGGTGGTCATCTCTGGGAGGAAAGCTCAGGGCTGGGTTCTTGCGTGCTCCGAATCCTCTGACCAGACCCCCTGATGCTGTCAGAGGAGAGAGGCAAGGCTTCCTGGAGGCAGAGTGGGGATTACGGTCCTTGCAGGAAAGTGCAGCCTTCACAGTTGGCTTGGAGTCCGCAGATCCCTTCAGCTCGGCTGGTTAAAATATCCTCGCCTCATCCCTAACAGTTATTCATGCTTCCTGCCTGTGGCGATTATAAAGTGTTTATGGTCCTTGGTCATGAATTATTAATGATTTTGAAATTGTGGTCACTGTAGTTTACTCAAAAGTCATTAGGAAGTAAATTTATCATACAGTGTTTTTAAAGGGAGAGAGAGAGAGAGAGAAAATAGGAAACCACTGAGGAGGAAGGATCATGATCATTGTGTAGCTCAAGCCTCCAGGGCCCATACTGGTGCCCAGGCCACAGTGGCTCTCCTGGGCAGGCGGCTGTGGCCCTCACGGTCACATGGCTCCCTGTGACTGTGAATTCATGCCCAGGCGTGCCTGGAGGGCTGCCATGTGACCCTGGACAACTCGCGGTGTATACTGACGCACCCGTGGAGGTTAGCACAAACATCAAAGGCAGGGGTACACTCAAGTGCCTTGCACAAGGCTTCCCTGATAAAAAGGTTCTGGAAATGGACTGTGAAGGATGGCAGAGCTGTTAAACACACCCACTTAGAAAAGGTGAAGACTCCCCCTTGCCTGCATGCCCAGCTGTGTACACACACACTCTGCTTTTAGCAAACTCAGGGATCTCAGGGGGATTCCATGGAAGAGGGGGACCAGGACCCCAAATGCCCTCTGGGATGGGGTTGTCTGGACAATCCTCTCTGTCCCCTCTGAATGCCCCCCATGAATGTGCCTCTGCTCTCTGGACCTTGGTTCTCCTCTGAGCTGGGGCTGATTGTTCTCTGGAGGCCCAGCTCAGAAGCCGGGGAGTCTGGTCAGAAGGATACCAGGAAGCACAAACCAAAGAAAAGGCTGCTGGGATTAGAACTGGCACTCATTGTGGGATCCCGGCCCATTCAAGGCAAGGACTTAAGCTGCTTGGCTATTGCGCTGGGCCCTCTTTCTCCTTTTTGGGACCAGTGTTGTGGGGGCAGCAAGTTAAGTCACAGCCTGTAATGCCAACGTCCCATATTGTCACCAGTGTGAATCCTGGTTGCTCTGCCTCTGATCCAACTCCCTGCTAGAAAACAGTGGAGGATGGTCCAAGCGCTTGGACTCCGGCCACCTGCATGGGAGACCCAGAAGAAACTTCTGGCTCCTGGCTTTGGCTCTGCCAAGTCCTAACAATTGCAGCTATTTAGAAATGGAAGGTATCTCTCTCCCTCTCTGTCACTTTGCCTTTCAAATGAATAAACTAAATTTTTTAAATATATGAATTTTATTCATCTGAAAGGAAGAGTGATAGAGAGTGAGGATGAGACGGATGGGGGGAAAAGATCTTTCCATCTGCTGGCTCACTCCCCAAATGACTGCAACAACCAGGCTTGAGCAAGGTTGAGGTCAGGAGCTTACAATCCCATTTATGCCTCCCATGGGGGTGCCAGGGGCCCAAGTACTTGGGTCATCCTCTTCCACTTTCTCAGGTTTATGAGCAGGGAGCTGGAGCAGAAATGGGAAAGCTAGAACTCAAACTGACACTGCAATATGAGATGCTGTTGTCCCAAGTGATGGCTTAACCCACCACACTACAGTGCTGGGGCCCCTGGCAAGGTCTTTAGAGCAGACTTCACAGTGGGTCAGTCGCAGTCCTGGAGAGAAGCACCCAATCCCAGCCCGATATAGAATATGCAGCGCTGGGGATGGGGCAGCTTAGCCCACACTACTTCACCATCAAACAAAACCAGGAGGTGTGATCCCTGCTGTCTAATCCAGCCTGCTCTGCGACAGGCTGCCGCATCCTTGCCTGTTACGTGACACCTCTTGATCTCTACCCTGCACCAAGGCCTATGGGGCTCCTGGACAATTCCCTCTGGTGTGGGGCCTGGGTCTGCGCCTTTGGCCACCAGCCAAGGGAGGCCTGCAGACCTGGGTTCCCGCCTGTGCTAGGTCCTCTGCCTTGGGGTCCCTAGAAGGATTTCGCAGGAAGACAGGCACCTGCTCCTGCCTCCAGAAAGGCAGACCCTCCCAGTGGGGACTGGGCTAGGTCAGCCTTCAGTCAGTCCACCGGGGCCCACATTTAAAGCTCGGCAGCAGCAACAAAGTTCTGAAGTTGTCATCCCAGCAGGGCTGACTGAAATGAGACGAGAACCCCCACTGGCTGTTCTGGCTAGTGTGGAAGTCACATCCAAGTGCAAGAGGCTCTTTGCAGTTCAACTCTACGGTTCTTCTGCAAAGTTGGCTGGGAGCCAAAGTGGTGGAACAAGGAGCCAAGAGAGAAAAAGGCAAAGACCAAGCCTTGTCGCCATTTTTGCCTGCACAATGCCTTTTTCTCACTGGAGTGTGGTCACTGGACAATCACTGCATCAGCGTATGTCGATGAATTTTTCAGGCCTGGTGGGCGTTTGCAATGAGCCACCAAGGCTCAAGTTTGATTCCCAATGGCATGGGACTCGATGAAGGGGCCCAGCAACAACCTGTGGACGCCTGCTCTTGGATGGAGCTCCGTGAGCTCTGGCTTTGACCATGCTGCTTCCTCAGGCTGGGAGATCCCACACTTCTCCTTCCGGAAGCGGCCATCGTTGCTTCTGTAACTTAGCAGTGGCCTGATTTCCACATGGAAATCCCTCTTTCTGGTTCTTTCTGGGATGGCGCATCTCTCATTGAGAGCATCCTGTTGTACCTGTCTTCTAACTTGATCCCTTACCTCTGGTCCCTAGATGCTGGGCTCAGGGCAGGTACACTCAAGCGTGGGGACATTTCAAGAATAGCCGCAATATTCTGTCACCCTTCCCGTGAATAGGTGAGGCCTCTTTCACCAATCCTCGCATGAGGACTGCTCCTGTGACTTGAAGATTGGCAAGTGGTGAGGGGACATTGCGCCAGTTGTGGCCTGGGACTCAGAGGTCCTGTGGTTGCTGCTCTCATACACCCCAAAGCAGTGCCAGGCAGACAAAGCTGGCTAGCTTGCTGCAGGATGAGAGGACACGAGGACCAGCACACAGACCCCCTAGCTGGCACTGTCGTTCAAGTGCAGGTGCCTGAGCGAGCCCCCGCTGAGTTCCGCAGGGCCTGACCAGTCAGGCGAATCCAAATTGCTGACACACAGGATTGGAAGCCAGGTTCCATGGTGGTTGGTTTAAGGCACTAAAATTTGAGGTGCTTTCTTCCACAGGCAAAGCTAACATACACTCAGCCAAAGAGCATGGATACAAGCAACAATGCGTTGATAAGTTTGGTTGTCTGCTACCAATGGAAGTGGGATTCCAGCTTGGATCTCAGACACAAAAATGAGCAGGAGATCCAGGAATATCTGTTCACCACCCTGCCCCCTGGGGTGCATCCCACCCACCAGCCCTTCACCAGGGGCTCCATTACCTCCTTTTTCTCCCGGGAGCAGGACTGGCTTCTCTCGGCCTTTCGCAGGCTCTGACCTGTAGCGGTTCAAAGGCAGAAGCAGAGATGAAGACTGTGTGACTAACAGTTAGTTTTATGAACACAAAGGCTTTTTATTTGCAAACTGAATAGACGAGACCAATCATAATCAAATGATTTTTAAGAAAATGCAGCCTATTATTATAATGGAGAAATGGCATACTCTGGAAATAGACCATCGGCAAGGAAAATGGTAATTCACACACTCATGTTATTCGACTATAATGAACCAACCTCCAGCCCTTTAATCTGCAACATTATCTGCAGTCAGAGAGGGCCTACGGACTGCAGTTTTCCCAGTTGAATTACATTTGTATTAAATTGTTTGGAATTACATAAAACGCCTTCCACAAAAATGCCTTCCACTGTGTGCATACACATAACCTTTGATGAGTGCGTACCAAGGCACTGCACCAAAGCCCCTCCACTCTCCACCGCAGCCATTGGTGCGGGTGTGAATCAGCGGTAATCACCTGCGGTCTGTGAAATGGGCAATTTTGGAGAGAATTGTTGCCTTCCTTGGAGAACTCAAAAGCCTAAGATTTGAAGGTAGCAGGCATCAGTTCAACAGAGAACCACCATCCTGTTTCAATAGGCTGCTCCCAATGCAGTTTACAGTGGAAGTTTTATGGAAGGGTCCATTAGAAACAGGATTTCTAGATGGAAAATGAATAGATGGCTTTGTTGGTAAAATGCAAAACAAAAGCCATGGCCTATCATCAGTGCGTCTCCCAAAACGGCCACACTCCATGACTCAGTAAGAGCACTCAGAAGGCAAGGGCCGGAAGGCCGGGTGCCAGCAAGGGGCAGGGACCAAGACTCAGAGGCACACAGCGGCCCTTGGTATGCTTGCTTGTGAGTGTCCGCACATCAGTGAGAGTCATAGCTTGTGACGAAGCTCAAGCTTTGGGTTTTCTTGCAAGAGATCCAAGAGGCTTGCAAGAGCCTCTGCAAATAGCCAAATAAAAACAGGACTCAGAAGGGGCTGGTGTAGTGGCTCAACTGTCTAATCTTCCACCTGCAAATGCTAGCATCCCATGTGGGCACCAGTTCATGTCTCAGCTGTCCCACTTCCCATCCAGCCCCCTGCTTATGGTCTGGGAAAGCAGCAGAGGATGGCCCAATGCCTTGGGACCCTGTATCACTGTGGGAGACCCTGAAAAAGCTTCTGGCTCCTGATCTGCTCAGCTCTAGCCATAGCAGTCATTTGGGGAGCAGACCAGAGAGTGGAAGATCCTTCTTTCTGCTTCTCCTTTCTGTAACTCTGCCTTTCCAATAAAAATAAATAAATCTTGAGGGAGGAAAAAAAAAAAAGCAGAGGATTCAGAAAGGACACAGCTGGAGAATTTAGACAGTGAAATAGTATCATGGCATGGTAGACACCTGTTGGGGGATCTCAGCTCTTGCTGACGCTAAACAAACCTCTTTTCTCATCCTCTTTTTCCCGGACTTCAGATGGTGCCTCCCAGGGCAGCCATCCTTACGGATCAAACCTCCAACCAGGCATGGAGTTCTGACCCAACTACAGCTGAGCAGAACCCCAGCCTAAGAATTCAGAATTGGTTCTAAGAGGAGAGGAGAGTGGGGAGAAAGGCAGGGCAGGTTCTTTTTGTGTGGATGAGAACTGTGTGCTGTAAGGAGCCACTGGCCTGCTACCTCGGGGAAGACCAAGAAGGCTGGGATGCCAGCACAGAACAGACTGACCTGGAATGGAGGCCACGCCTGCCGTGGTGTGCCACAGTACCCACGGACAGCTATTTCCTCTCTGTGCTTTTGTCTTAAGACAAACAGTCTGGGAACTAGGGATGATAGAAAGCCAGGAGGATGTGCTGCCGTGCTGGTAGAGTTTGCATGTGGGGACAGAGTATATGGAAGCTCTCTGTATCCTCTGTTCTATTTCACTGAAAGCGCTAGAACACAGTCTATCAATTAAGCATGCACACACACACACACACACACACCCTAAAAAGAAGAAAGAAAAGAAAAAAGGACCAGATATTAGAGCCCAGAAGATTCAGTGTTTAGATTTGATCATGCCCTCCTGGCGCCTGCTGCTTGACCAGCTTCCAGAAGCCCTTGGCCGCACCTGTTCTGGCCCAAGGAATTCTGAGTGGGTCCTTTTGGGCTGGCTGGAAATGATGCTCTCTAGCCCAGGTGGCCAGGTCCTACGATGCAGAGCCAAGAGCTGGAGACGGGCCCAAGTTGGAAGGAACACAGCAGTCTGTAAGCCAGAGTGGCTGACAATGCACTGAATCCCAGCAGTGCAGGGAGACCAAAGTGAGGGTCCAGAGGAAGGGCAGTGAGCGGGAGGACAGGGCCATTCTGGGGACGAACCCGGCCGAGCTCTAAGTCTGGCAGCACCAAGTCCCGGGGACCCAGTCCTGGAGGCCGCTGACTTGTTGCGCAACCTCAAAGAAGCCACAGAATCATGTAGGACACGGGTCGGCTCCTACTTTTTTTTTAAAGTGAGAACTAGGCTGGATCAACTCTGGGCTTGCTTTTCATCTCTAAAATTCTATTACACCAATAAAGAAGGGTGGGGGAGAAAAAAAATGAGGTGGTCCATAAAAACAAAATATTACTACAAAGAACACAGAGCTTAACTACTGAAATTTGAACACGAATCTCTCCACTGGAGTTAATTAGAAGCTTCTTTATTCACAAAATTGGAAAATAATTCGCGTACTTTCCACTGCAGATAATTCGCTCTAATTATAAGCATTTGTTATCTAACCACCCTTGAAGACAGGTTGGCCCCGTCTCTGCACTCCTGAGCCCCCTCTTCCTCCAGACAGCTCAAACCCGAGGGCTGTCTCCAGGTGACATGGTGGCTGTCTAGGGCACTTAACTTCTCTGAGTATCTTCCTGTCTCTATCTTGTTTATTCTCACAACAACTCAGGGAGGGAAGTGGAGGAAGGTGACATTAATATCAATACATGCCTCTTGCAGCACGAAGGGGTGTTCTTCTGCATTTTGCAAGGTGACCTGCCTGCGTTGGCTGGGAAGCAATAAATAAGGCTGAATGTAAATGATACGTGCACACTACACTTCCTGGAATAGATGTGTGCCTGCAGAGAAGGAATAAGGGGGAAAAAAAAAGAAAAGAAAAAGAAAACAACACGGATGCATTGCACATTTCAGTAAATATAATCCTGTTCTACCACTTATGGTGTTAGAAGGGTTTTATCTGCTCTCAGGATTTATGTGTGGTGGTTAGAAGGCTGTGACGCTCCAGCTTGATGTTGCTCTGGATGCAAATAAGAGGCATTGCTGGCCTGGGGTGGGGGGGACCAGCTGCCTCAGACACTCCTTTCAGAAGTCAGCAGGCCAGGGGAAAATCAGCCTTGAAACTGCCTTTGGAAAAGAGCTCCACCCTCCTGTAAAGCACAGCCTTTGGGATATGGCTTTTCCCATTCCTTGCACATAGGTAAAATTTGGTATGTATGCAAATGCATAGCACATGATAAAAAAATACCTATGCAAGATGTAATTTTATGGTAGTCTTAATCAAACCATTCATATTCTAAGTACTGCTGTCTTTCCTCTTGAGGTGGGAGGAGTGTGATGTGGGTGGGGGCAGGAGACAGGGACCAAGTTCATGGAAGTTCCACCCCTGGTGAACACAGCTGCAGCACACCCAACACCTGCTATGCTACAATCATCATCTCCTGTGCCCTCACTACCACTCCTTTAGACCAGGGTCTAGCCAACTTCTGTAAGGATCACCTAGAAAATACTTTTGACTGTGAGGTCTTTAAGGTAATAAAGGTCTCTGATGCAATGCTGTGGCACAAAAGCGGCCAGAGACAACATATAAATAAATGGGTGTGGCTATGTCCCAATAAGAAGACTTTATGAAAACACAGGTAGCAAGCCAAGCCAGATCTGGCCCACAGGCTGTGTTGGCTGACTCTCGAGTTAGATGTAGAAATGAATGAAGAAGTGAGAACCAAATCCAGAGCATGTGATTGAACCACTTGTTGAAGGTCACAGAAATGCAGATTGCTAAGTGTCAGGGCTCAGCGTGCGCCTAACTGCCATCATTACCATCATCATTATCATTGCCATCACCATGGGAGCACACCTTTAGCCAGGTCTGACAGTGTGCCAGGTGCTGGGCTCTGGCCTGAGCCATACATTCACTCATTGACTCCCCACAGTTTCCTTAAGAAACAGGCACTCTTAGGATTGTACTTGTCAGACGCAGGTGGTGAGATCCAAAGAGCTTGGGAAACTTGCCCAGTGTCGCACGGCTAGTGAGTGGAGGAGCTCTGATTAGGATCTGGGCAACTCCGCTCCAGGCAGCCGGTGCTGCTATCCACCAGACTACACTGTCCCTCAGCCTGCTCCTGGTAGACACAGAAGAACAAACAGTGCAAGCGTGTGCCGGGGAGGGAATCTGTATTAGGGAACTCCTGTCTGTGCGCTGTAGCTTTTGAATGTGTCGTGGGCTCCCGGAGCAATTAATAAGTGGAAAATGATTCCCCGGTGAAGGTGGGGCTTCCATCGAGCCAGATGGCAAAGCGAGAAGCGTGAGAAGACACCAAGGTGCCTGAGATGCAGAGTGTTGGGAGGTGGCCTTCACATTAGACACCTGCTAATTAGAACCTGCTTCCATCTAGTCAGGGAAAATGCTCAGATGGGCTGAGAAAGGTGGGTCTTGGGAGAACGAAGGTGGCTCCATGGAAGTCCTATCAGGAAAGCAAGCCTGGACAGGAAGCTCGCACAGCACAAAGGAGCTTCAAATAAAGAAAATGCTTCAGTCTAGTGTGGTGACGGTGCTGCCACTGGCCCACTAATTGCAGGATGATTTAGTCTTTTCCTTGACTAAATATGAAGCCTCATGCTGCACTTGTTGGATGTTTATGAAATTTAATTGACACCACACACATTCCACTGTTGTGGGGGGGTGGGAGGCGGCGGTCCGCTTCCTCTCACCTTACACAGACTGGCAAAAATCCAAATATTTGCCACTATCATCTTGGCAGGATCTGATGA